AGTTACTCCGATCTACGTCGTTTTTTATCCGTGAAATCTATATGACACGATGCTTAATGAAATGAAGAAACGATGTAATAGTAGTTTTTATCATAATAATTTATTTTTATAGGAGATATGACCCTGTGACACTCAAAAATTGCTTTTTCAAGAAGTATTAACACTGACGTACGTCCCTCTGACGTATGGTTTTTTGAAATAGCCTTTATTAGTAATATTTTAATATTTATTTATTTGTTTTATTGTTTATCGTTAATTTAGCATAAAGGGAACCGAATTAATAACTAAAAACAAGTTAATTATATAAAAAATATTTACTTAAACTTAAAATAGAGATCTTTGAAAAATCAATAGGAACATAAAACGCCTTCTTTCTTAACGGCTCAAAAACTTAACTTATCAGTCTAAAATTATCACAGAGCTGATAGTATCTTAACATCTAGATAATACTTCATAATTAAAAAACAAATAAATGATATTTTATTAGGAACTAAACACTTTTTAGCGACATGTGTCACAAGTCGGTTTTGAACACTGCAAATATACGGGTTTCCTGTGATGTCGTAGGTTCATTATCAGAGTCTGAGTAAGGAACGGCTTCTTCGATAAGACCCGTTTCACCCTGTATTTCTGTTATGGGGATATTGTCATCGCTATCCGACGAGGAGTCTATCTCTTCTGCCTCCTATGGCAGGATGTCATCCTCATCAGCTGAAGAATCATCAGACTCCGAAAAGGCTAGGGTTTCCATGACGAAACTCACAAACTGTTGATCAGTCTTAAAAAAACCACTTTGCTTAAAAACTTGGTCCTTCGAGCCGGAAAATAGTTTCAACTTTTTAATGAAGACATTAAGGTAGGCATATCTGAAGATAGATGCGTGACAACGAGAACGTCAGTATTGATAAATTATAAAACGTGTCATTCAATATTGCATACTCCACGCGTCAATTCCGTCGCGTACTAACGCATACATTCGTGATAGGATTGATCACATCATCACATCACCAGCCCTTTTACGTCCCCACTGCAGGGGTTCAGGTCTTCCTTATGGATGGTTAAGGAGGATGGGCCATGACCCTCCACGCTGGCCCAATGCGGATTGGAGGATATTAACGACAGCAAATGCAGCCGGGACCAACGGCTTAACATGTTTTCCGAAGCACGGAGTAGCTCGAGATAATATTTTTTTGGTCACCCATCCCGTGACCGACCCTTGCGAAACTTGCTTAACGACTACGATCGTGGGCCGCGGCGCTTATCCGCTACGCCACCAAGCTACTGAGCTAGATAGGATTGATGTTACGTCGGATTTGCTGCGACCCATAAGCTATACTCTGAACAGCAGCGACATTCCCAAATGCTTACAGATTTGGCATATCCTTTTTAATGTCGAGTGACTAAACAATACCGATGGGAGACGTTGAAAAATAGCTTACGCAAAACCGATTACTAACTAAACACGGGCTGTTCCCTTGACATTTGTGAACAAAAGGACACATTAAAATGTTCCGCTTATGTTTTAGACAGTAACATTCACATTAAACAAGTTTTGTTTTGTGAGAGAGAAAATTAAAGCATTAATTAATATTTGATGTGTGTTACTGAAAATGTTTTTGTTAACAGAGATACTCGTATTTTGTGAATCGGTAATCACAGTTTTCTTTTTTTTATTCAAGGGTTTAAAAGAATAACTCTTCTTAAAATTCCAATTTCAATAAAACGTTTGTCGTTTCAGAGGCTTATTAATCTGACATCAATGGGAATTAGAGGAATATTACTTTTCTGGGCAAGGACCAGCATACTTGATTCTTTACGATCATTAATATGAATTAAAACAACGGTTTAATTAAAAGAGATATTATACTAAGATAACATCAAGTATTGAATTCGATTTTATTATAAGATAGCCTTTTACCTTCGTTTGTGTAAATTACAGGCTATGTCATCCGCGTATGATGAAGCTTTAGGTAGATGAAGGAATTTTTAAGCTTATTTAATACTCGGTGTTTTGCTACTGTAATGTCTAACAACTTATGAGGATACTCCGTGGAGGGGCGAAATACGTGTGGAGTGGTGGATGCGAGAGCGGGCGGTACACAGCAGGGGGTCAATTCTACTAAATCAATTTTGTTTGAATCGAATCGAAAACGGATCGAAACCGAACTAAACTACAGTTTTTAATGGTTTTTCTATTCTAATAAGTGACATACGATACAATTCCAGCTAAAATAGAACTGGAATTGTATCGTATAATCATACAGTCATACCAATACTAACAAATAATTTAAAAAAATCCTTTTTATAATAATACGTTATTTAATACATTGTTAATGAAGTTCATTAGAGCTATTATTGCATGCAGACGTTTTAGTTTTAGTCGTTTTGAAGTATTCACCTGTTTGTTGATCAATCAGTATTGATTTTCTATTACAAAACGCGTAATTACACACTGTGTGAGTCGCTCGTTTGTGGAACGAATTATCGGGCACAGCGACGCGTGCTTGTATGTGTGCACGCGCGCGTTTATTTGTGTGTGTGTGTGTGTGTGTGTGTGTGTGTGTGTGTGTGTGTGTGTGTGTGTGTGTGTGTGTGTGTGCGCGCGCGTGTGTGTGTGTGTGTGTGTGTGTGTGTGCGTGCATGCGTGCTTGTATTTTTACCCGACTGCGCGACGCAAAGGCGGGTAATGTGTTTATCAGTCTATGTATGTATGTTTTTTTTCTATGTGGCGTTCTAGAGACCAAATGCGTAGGCCAATTTTGATGATACTTACGTCAATCGATTCGTCTTAACCTTGCGAGTGTCACTTAAGACACGACAGTAAACAAAATTCACCACAGCGACAACCAGACGCCATATTGCCAAAATGAAAAAAAAATCGATGAGCTATGTCAAGTGGGGTGTCGTTGAATAGGTATTTTAAAATCAGCTTTAGGTTCCTTTTATCATTTTTCATTTTAAATAATAGTTTAGGATATATAACGCTTTAAAGTTGTTTAACAAAACATTATCGGTAATTTTCTTACTTAATGATTCAAGTTTTTATTTAAAGTATAAACGATATACAAACAAAAAAAAAACACAGTGAAAAAGCATGAAGAACAAATATTTTTGTTAAAAAAAAATAAAGCATATGTAACTTTGAGCCGAGTTAGGCCTCTAGAGGTCATCAGTAGTTTAGACCACCGCAAATTACTTTTAACTCCTTCAATGAAATGACTAGATTGCGAAATTTACCATCTTATAACGAAGTTAACGAATCATAACTAAAAAGTATAAAATAAAAATAAATAATTTAAAGAAAAACAAAAAACCCGACTGCGTAAAAACGGGCCCCTTGGAAAGATTTTATTGGTAAAATTTGAATAGGCCCGACTGTGAGTCGCTCTGTTCTGTATTACTTAACATAATTCTAAACTACTGGGCTTGTTTCTTTCTTTTTAGTTTCTATTTAAGTTAATTTTGTCATGCATTTTTTAAAATTCGTTTTTACGCTGTCGGGTTTTTTTTAACCGTTTAGTCGTATCGGAAATTCCGAGTACACTGAAGTAAAGGTTTTTGTATATTTTTGTATCCAAAGGGTAAAAAAAAAACAAGGACCCTATTATGTACTAAGACTCCGCTGTCCATCCGTCTGTGTGTCACCAGGCTGTCTTATACATAACCGTGATAGCTGGGCAGTTGAAATTTTCACAGATTATGAATTTCTGTCGCCGCTTTAACAATAAATATAAAATAAAAAATATATTTAAATTGATGAAATTTAAGAAGCCCAGCTTTATCTAAATAACGAAGGCCCTGTAACTTTTTAACCGCTGAATATCATAGAATTATCGATGTCAAAATTTGACATGAAAAACTCCGCCTTTTCCTCCGCATTTTCTGCGCCTGCAACTAAAAAAAAAATCTAAATGGACCGTATGAAAAATTCCGGACCATACAAAAGAGTTCTGTTATTGTAACCAGTTTCAGTATAGTTTCACTTTATCGTATTTCGTTTTCAGCCTTCCAAATCCTTTAATCGTTTAATGTTAACTGATTCTATCAGTAAATAGGCACAGCCATTTGGAATAATTAGAAATAGGGTTTTTGTGACATTATTGATTTCCCACGAGAACTAAACAGTTATTTCGTGGAGCCACTGTAGATTTTCGGAAGAGAAATGAAGCTATACATTATTCCTGATAAGTAACACCTGCTGTGTCAAAGTTATTTGTTAAGATCCGGTATGTTTTTTAACTTCGAGTAACGTTCCTTGATGGAGATTGGACGGTGGCTTTGTCAATCATCATCATCATCATCAAAAATAAATAAATAAATATAATACGATATCACATACATTGCTCAGATTTCCAGATGAGTAGCAAAAGCCCTCATATTATGGCGTACTTGAGACTACCAAACACCTAGACCAGAGATAGTATAGATAAATTCATTTTCTTGATTGGTACGTCCGGGAATCGAGCTCAGGAGAACATAAAAAGAATCCGGGAAATCTTTGAGGAGTGATAGACCTTGAAACCAGCGTGTGAACAATTTGGCTATGGAGGTCACCATTTTGTTTTTAGCCTCTCGTCGTGATTTTTAAAGTAATTTAACGTACCAATAAATAATTTTTCAGTTGGACTTCTTGAAATCAAACAAGGAGAAAAAAGCTGCATTTGCTGAGTTTTCAGTACAAGCTCTCCTTTAAATTTGCGAATCGATGGCATAGTATTTCGATATTTACAAGTGCTTCTAACAGCTTAGACTGAATAAAGGATCTTAATTTTCCCTTCTTATTTCTCTTTTGATTAGATAAATAATTAATAAAAGAGCCATGTCTATAAAAATAAATACTCCTTGGAGGTTCGCAAACTAAATGAGATACTTTGGTATTGTTGGCCAGTCACAACAGGTCGTATAAGTATCAGTTACTATTGCCACATGGAGCTACAAAGCAAAGAATATGGAATCTATGGTGCATATCTGTGTAATGGGTATAGTTCAAAATACCAAGTAGAATAGAATTTTTTATTATTATATTTGATCAATTTTACATTCATAATGCTATATTGAAAATATTCTTAATGAAACCTGCTTAAAAATCCACTTTATCCCTGGCACTCTGAGATTAGACTTGAACCCATGACCTTTTGCAATCTGGGCGACTGCTCGAAACTCTGAGCTATCTTAGATCTAAAGGGACTGAAGAAAATTTCTTAATCAAATGTGTTTTAATCTAAGCTTAAGAATCGTAATACATTCCAGTAGTCCTTTAGTACTTATTGGTTATAATAAGTGTAATGTAATGTTTTTTATTTACTTATCGCACAGTTTATTACGGTTTATTCGCAATATCGTGTTAATTAGAGAGTCTACTATGTTTATAATGCAAGATGTTTTACAATATGGCTCATTTTTTGCATCTTTAAATACTCGTTTAAACTTGGATATAAGTACAGGTGATTGTAACTGATGAACATAATATTATGATATCGACAATGATTGTTGTGATAGTTTCCTTTCAGAGGTAAATGAAAACATTTTTTTTTGTTTTTTCATTAAAACCGAGTCCCTTTTCATTTGGTTACTCGCTCTCAGGTTTCTTTTCACATATGAAGGCTAAAAGGGCACCGTTACACCAAACGTCATTTAAAAGACCAGTACGGGAAATTGCGCCACAAAATGAGCCGTTATCATAAGTCTTATCGTTGTTTGGCTGGCCTTTGTCGAAAGTCGAGAAACCAGCTTCAGCAAGAGATTGACCTGTAATGATAAATTCTCTGTTGTATTGGTCCGTGATATTATTTGAATCATTATCATCAGCCATGTTACGTCTCCAATGCAGGGGCTCAGGTCTTCCTTATGGATGGTTAAGGAGGATGGGCCCTCTACGCTGGACCAATGCGGATTTGGGGGCATTGACGACTTCAAATGCAGTCAGAGCTTAAAGTGTCTCCCGAAGCACGGAGTAGCTCAAGAAAATATTTTTTACGTTACCCATCCCGTGACTGACGCTAGCGAAAGTTGATTAACAACAAAGTTAATGGTCCGCGTCGCTTATGCACTACGAGCTACTCTTGTTTGAATATCAACATTCAAACTGAATGAAATTACGTGAAGAATTTCACAATTTGTTTTAACTCACCGTGGATTGTGTACCAAACACCACGCTCACCCCAGTCACAATATCCAATGGAGGCTACATGTTTATATGGAGATAGAACTTTATCATTCGGATATTTAGCGAATATGTTCTTGATGACTAGCGCTTCAATGTCACTATTAATGATGGCTAGATGCCCCCCCTCCGCCATACAGGTCATGAAGGCTCGTCTCCAGGTGCGACCAACTGGGTGGAACTTATAACAGCTGCCAGTACGTGTGTCCAGGGTGTATTCTATCGAAGAGTCAATAAATTGATTCGTTTAAAGTATAATTAATAAAAAAGTAAAGTTAGAAGTAAAAGATAGATGTTCTCATTAAACTCTCACCTGGATCCGTGGTTCCACAAGGTGTTTGAACCGTACTATCTGTTTTCTTCTTATAGCAAATATAGGGGTAAGTGTCATTGCAGCGGACGTCAGCCAGGGTGCCATTATTCACCATGATGATGCAGTCTTCGTTGTTATCATAGTTGTCTGGTTCATTGGGTGCCCATTTAATGGGTATCTTGGACAACGGAACTCCTGTAGTTTTGTTTTCATATGTTGATCATCATCAGCCTATTAATATTTTCTTTGCTGGAGCACAGTTATATGCTCCAATAGTATAGAACCTACCACGAAGTACTCGTATTGTTTTAGGGGGGGTAGTCATTGTCATCATCAGACCTTTTGCGTTCTCATTGCAGGGCCTCAGACCTTCCTTATGAATGGTTAAGGAGGATGGGTCATGACCATCCACGCTGGCCCAATGCGAATTGGACAAATTAACAACTGTAAATGCAGTTGGGACCAACGGTTTAACGTGCCTTACAAAGCACGGAGTAGCTTGAGATAATAATTTTTAGTCACCATGTTTAATTAGAAGGAAAATTACCAAGTTCCTTTAGTATGCCAGCTAGTGTTGGGTTGAGAGGATGATATTTTTTATTACTACAATAACATAATTTTGTTATTTGTAATGAAGAATGTTCGTATGATAGAATGATTAATGGTCGTACTTTAGGTAGTAAATAAAGAGATTATTTTATAGAAAAAATACAAACCTTCGATTGAAGAATAATCTCCTTTAGAGAAGGTTGCGTGTATTCCTGTTAAGATGCCACAGGAGTCACTATGCGTTTTCAGAAGTGTTACCATTGCACGCTGTAGCTGCAGGTTTAGCGGAGATGCTAGGACTGCCCCTTAAAATATATCAAAATAATTATAATTTTCTTGGGCTTGGTCTATTGCCAAGTTCTAGCTTTCGCTTTTAAACTAATATGTAATATCTATACCAGTAGTGAATTTCGCAATTGTATTTTCATATAAAAGGGTTTTTTTTTTAGGTTTATTTTATCTACAAATCTAACAGTAATATAAATACCTTCAGCATTACATCTCAGAAACGCATCCGTGAAGGTGGCCGGCATTGGATGATATTCCAGCCAGCCACCAGCCTTTTCGTTGTACTCGTACTCGAATCTGTATTGATTGCCCTCTATCGGGAACATATAGAAAGTTTCGATCAAGGTGGATCACTAGCATAAATGTTAAACGACTTGTCATGATATTGTACAAAATGAGCCGCTCGTAGTTTGAATGAAACTAATGAAATAAAATGACAGAAGCTGTTATAATTAAAGTTTCATCAATTCAGCCGAGAAACGCCCACTGCTGGGCATAGGCCTCCCCAAAGATCTCCAAAGCGATCGGTCCTGCGCCTCCCATATCCATTAAACTTTAATGGATATTTAGATTTTTGCTATTTGAGCGGAGCAAATTTTAGGCTTTCAATAATGTATGTAAAGTGCCAACTGGCATTAAGTCCGCCATTTGTACACTTTATTTGTGCAAAAAAGTTTTATAAATAAATGTAATAGTAATGGAGAAATAATATATTTTGCGAAAGGGGCGTAACCAATCCCTATGTAAAGATTACCCAGTGAATCTTTTTAATTTAAAACTTAAGGAAAATTGATACAGACAGACTAATTCCGCTTAATTATCGAATTGTAAGGTCATTACTAATTAAGCTGCCAGCAGAGCGATCCCGTAGAAATCTGAACCCAAATTCACTTAATTATTATCCTTTATATGTGGCACAAGTAAAGTTAAGTAAGTGTCGAAATGATGATGAGTTGAGATATCTGAGGATCATCAATATATCTCAATGAAATAGTTTAATGTGCACATTACTCCTCATTTAACAAATAAAAGAAATTTTGAGTTGTTTTATTGTTAAATAGCCATGACGCCCAATGCTGTTTCCAATTGACATTAGGAAAATAGTGGCTGGATAGCTGGATAGATAGAAAACGTCAAACCTCACTTATTTTGTTCAATTTACTCCGCATTTGAGTTATAGAGAATACGAAATTTGTATCTGATCGCGGATTCAGTTCTCCGATTTTCAGAATGGGGAATTAATAAAAATATGAGGGAAATAGTACGTAATTACGATATGAAATAAAAAATAAAGTCAGTTATCAAGAGACCTCTGTGCTTTATTAACGTCTCACATAACATGGCGCAGCCGGTAGGATTAAAGTGAAAGTATTACATGTATAAATAAAAGTGATTAGTAACACATAATTAAAATCATGGAGACTGTGTTATCGCCGCCAAAACCGTTTTATTTTGATCATGGTTCAATGAATATAACATCTGCAAATTTAAGCGAGAGCTGGAATAAATGGAGGAAGGGATTCAAAATATATTTTGATGCTTGCGAACTGGGAAAAAAGACGGCGGACATTCAAATAAATATATTACTTCACATTGTGGGTGAGCAGTGCAGAGAGCTGTATGAACAGTTTACATTGAAATCTAAAACAGTGAATGATTTGTTAACCCAATTTACACAACATTTTGAACAAAAGAAAAATATTACAGTGGAAAGACATAAGTTTTTTACGAGAAATCAGACTGAAAATGAAACTATCGAACAATATGTTTATGATTTGAAAAAACTGGCGACTACGTGTGAATTTGAATCATTGTGCGATTCATTAATTAAAGATCGTTTGATTTGCGGCATACGAAATGTGGGTATACGAGAACGACTGTTGCGTGAAGCGGACCTGACACTAGAAAAAGCAATGGACATTTGTCAGGCAGTTATTATCTCTAAAGTTTACTCGGAGAATTTGAATATACAAAATAACAATGAATCTGTATTAAATATAAACAAAACCAAGAATATTACCGATACCGATGAAAATAATTTAATATGGAGATTGAATAAAAAAAATTATCGAAATACTCGTAGTAGAAGTGGACAAACTCAGCGCACGTACACATACAGCGCGCCTATAACTGAGCCAACGGCGGTGATGTCGTCGAGAACCCGTGGTCGTGAGTGGAGCGCGCGAGGCTGCGCATCACCGACAGGGCCGGCGCCCGGGCATGCTGCCGGGACCGGTTATAGGAATGTAATTGCGAAGTGTAACAAGTGTGGCGCGTCTCATTATAGAAATCAGTGTCCGGCATATGGAAAACAGTGTTTACGGTGTTCACGTATGAATCATTATGCTCGAATGTGTGGAATTTATTCTATAGTAGAATCGGAAGATCAGGTAATTTATAGTTTAGTTGATAAAATTAATGATAATTGGTCTATAATTTTAAACATTAATGGTGTTGACTTACGTTTTAAGATGGATACGGGGGCCGATGTCAATGTATTGCCACTACGATACATCAAGAGATTAGGGTTGAGTAAAACCGAACTATTAACAACGAGTACTAAATTACATGAATATTCGGGAGCAGCTATAAATGTGATAGGTAAATGTTATCTTAAGGTGAATTGCAGAAACAATACTCATATTTTAGAATTTAAAATTGCGAATGTAGAATCGACTCCAATTCTAGGTAAATATTCATGTGAGCAACTAAATTTGATAAAAAGAATACAAAATATTAACGAAAATTCTGTGGAACCAAGTATCATAAAGGATTATAAAGATATATTTGAAGGGCTAGGATGTTTGCCAGGAAAATATAAAATTGTGTTAGATCCTAATTGTAAGCCTGTAGTGCATCCACCAAGAAAAATTCCCCACGCTATAAATGATCAGGTGCAAGCAAAGTTGAAGGAAATGGTTTCACAAGGAGTTATAGAAAAAGTAGAAGGCCCTACAGACTGGGTGAATAGTATCACAATAGTTAAAAAGCCAAACGGTGATTTAAGGATTTGTCTCGATCCAAAAGAACTTAATTTAGCAATAAAACGTGAATATTTTAGGTTACCTACCGTAAATGAAATCTTAGCTAAACTGTCAGGGGCAACTATATTCAGTACCCTTGATGCAAAAAATGGATTTTGGCAATGTCAGTTACATGATGATAGTTCAGAGTACTGTACCTTTAATACTCCCTATGGTAGGTATAAATTCCTAAGATTACCTTACGGCATTTGTTCAGCTAGTGAAATTTTTCATAGAAAAGTGTATGAAAACTTTGATGACATAGAAGGTGTAACTATGTACGTTGATGACATTTTAATATATGCGAAAAATAAGTTGCAACACGACAAAATACTAAAGCAGGTTCTAGAAAGGTGTCGTAAAATAAATTTAAAATTAAATTTAAATAAATGTAAATTTTGTGTAGAGGAACTCAGGTATCTTGGACATAAGATAACGAAAAATGGAGTTTACCCTGATGATAGTCATTTGCTAGCCGTGTTAAATATGCCTAGACCAACAAACATAAAAGGTGTTGAAAAATTTTTGGGATTAGTTACGTATTTGGGAAACTTTATACCTAATTTATCAGAAAAAACGTTACCGCTTAGGGAACTTTTACGTAAAGATGTTGAATGGCATTGGTTAGATTTACAAGAGAATGCATTTAATAATTTAAAAGAGTGTCTTACGAAAAAACCACTTTTAAGGTACTACAGTATACATGAACCAATCGTAATATCTGTTGACGCCAGTAAGAGTGGTTTGGGTGCAGTTCTTTTACAAAATGGTAAACCGGTTTGTTATGCGTCTAGAGCCTTAACTAAAACAGAGCAGAGATACGCACAAATAGAAAAGGAATTGTATGCATGTGTATTTGCATGTGAAAGGTTTTATGAATATATTTATGGACGAACTGATATAACAATAGAAACCGATCATAAACCGCTTATTTCAATAATTAAAAAATCAATCGTAGATACCCCGTCTAGATTACAACGTATGCTTTTGCGATTACAGTCGTATACTTTTAAGTTAATATACAAACCAGGTAAAAAATTATTGATAGCGGATGCACTTTCCCGTGCATATTTGCCGTTGAATGAACATTGTGTGAAGGACCGGTATGAGAGTGAAGAGATTGAAGCAATACATTTTGTAGCATCTACTCAGTTAATAAGAGAAAAACAATTTAATATATTGCAAAAGGAAACTGAAAAAGACGAGGAAATGACTAGTTTAAAGAAATTTATAAAAAGAGGTTGGCCTGAAAACAAAAAGAAAATAAATAGTTTACTATTACAATATTGGAAACACAAAGATAATATAACGGAGCGATATGGGCTATTGTGGATGAATAACAGAGTCATAATACCTAAAACTTTGAGAAAAAATATATTAAACAAATTACATATAAGTCATTTAGGATATGAGAAAACTTTGTTACGTGCTAAAGAATTGTATTATTGGCCTGAGCTTAATAATCAATTAAAAAATTTAATTAGTAAATGTCAAATTTGTCTTACATATAGAAAAAATAATGTAAAACAGCCACTGTGTCCTCATGAAATACCAAACGGTTGTTGGTTAAAAGTAGGCGTGGATTTGTTTTATTTTAACGGAATTAATTACTTATTGATCATTGACTATTATAGTAAATTTATTGAAGTGGTAGAATTAAAAAGTACATTATCGAGCTCCGTCATAAAAGAAATTAAATGTATATTTAGTAGATTTGGAATACCGGAAAAGGTTATATCTGATGGTGGGCCACAGTTCACATCTAAAGAATTTCTTGAATTTGCTAAAAGTTGGTGTTTCGAGCATACAGTAACCTCTCCATATCATTCACAATCAAACGGGCAAGCTGAACGCGCCATACAAACTGTCAAAAATATAATGAAAAAATGTTCTTTTCAAAATAACGATTTTCGTTTAGCTCTTTTAGAATACTTAAATACTCCAATAAGTCGAAATCTTTCTTCCCCTTCGGAAATATTACAATCCAGAAGGCTTAGAAGCATTCTGATCGATCCGAAATATATAATCAATTCACCAAAAACCTATGTGAGCCGAGAGTTAGAGCACAGACAAATGAAGTATAAATCGTATTATGACCGAAATACAAAATATTTACCTCCATTATATGCTGCTCAAAAAGTAAAAGTCAGAGATATTGTTAACAATAAGTGGTTATCTGGAATCGTTACTAGAATGATAAGAAGCAGAACATATGAGATTTTATTAGAAACAGGTAAAAAGATAATAAGAAATAGAAAATATTTAATTATTGATAAAAATTCAAAACCAATTCAAAAAAATAATGAATCTGATTATGATGATGTAGTACTGTCAAGAGTTGACACATCGGCTCCCGAACCTACAACTTTACCATCAACAAATAGTAATGTAAGTGATAATTATCGTGTTACTCGTTTTGGCAGGATAGTGAGGCATCCGGATAGACTCGGCTTTGAGCAGTAATGTTTATGAAGTGATTTGTATTCTCTACAAATTATTAATTATGTCTATTAGTGAGCATCCATAAAACTGAAATATTGTAAAATTAATTAATTAATAGTTTAAAAATATAATTGCAAAATATGTACGTAAACATAAATATAATAAAAAGATAAATGTAAAAAAAAAAAAAAAAAAAGAACTTTGTATTTATATGTATCGTTACATTAATAAGTATGTGTCTAATTAATGTATTTAATGCTTATTTATTGTCTTGACTGGATCAAGATTAAAACTGTATGATTTAATAGGTGTATATAATTTAATTTGTATTATTGCATGATTGTTTTGTTCGAATTAAAAAAATGCTTACGAATAATGTAATTTTGCCTGATCGTTATATTCCCTAAATAAATGTATCAATGATAGGTATTTACAGATTATTTATAACTGTTATTGTATAATTTAAGTGCATGATTTATGTGTATGCTGATATCATAATTGTTTAATTTTTTAATTATATTTTTTTTATAAGAAGGAAGATGTAAGGTAGATATGAAATAAAAAAATAAAGTCAGTTATCAAGAGACCTCTGTGCTTTATTAACCTTAAAAGTTATTTTCGAACGGTTTCATACCTTCAGCATGACATCTCAGGAACGCATCCGTAAAGGTGGCCGGTACTGAATGATACTTCAGCCAGCCACCAGCCTCTGTATTGTACTCGTAGTCGAATCTGTATTGACTGCAATCTGTTAGGGTATATATATGGAAATTTTAATTGTTGACAACTTAAATGAATGTTTACCATAAATTGTTTGTTAAATGCTTTCATAGGAAATAAATATTATTACTTTCTCATAATTTCTAAAGGCTTTTGAAGTTTTTTTTATAATATTTTTCGTGAGAGAAATTAATTTTGTTGAACTTTGACAAATTATTTTTAACGAAACATAATTTAATTCTGAGGCTGATAGTCAGCTAGTCTATTGATAAAATTTGTTGGAAGCTTCATTCAGTGATATAATTTTAATCAGGATTAACTTTCCTGTTTCACAATTAAGTCAGTAGGTTTTATAATACTGTTTTGTTTTGTAAGTTGAATATAACACAATTTTTATTATTATCATTAATTCCATTTGGTTATAAAATACGGTCTTGAAGTCGTTGTCGAACGCAGCGCTGTCACGTCGTAGAGGTTCAATTAAATAAACTCTACTTACTATTCTGCTACCTGATAAAAAAGATATGTTTTTACCTTAGAAGTTTCACAAAGTTTACTACATTTTTATTCCTTTGGTGAAAAGAATAAAATAATTGAAAAACAAAATTTTTGAGAATAATTCTTCAATTATCAATTAAATTAAACTATGACGACGATTATTGGAAATGTCAGAAAACAACCTCACGTTGACTGAAAGCTTAATTCGCAATCGTTAAACGTAAGGCCTATTAAAACTACACTAGGTATAATATATATCAAATACACTCACCCGCCCATGTCAAACACAAAGATACACTCACAAAGAATATATTTTGGAATTTCATTATTATCAAGGTTTTTTCGCTAATGCAAAATTCAACACGGTTCTGTTTAAATACAATCGACCATCTGTTTTATATATGATTTCATATTTTCGTAATATTAAATTATAACTAAAATGAGGTTGGAATATATGTTTGTGGTTTTTTTCTGACAATCGATGTTCTGATAACCTAACTCAGTTAGGTATTTTAGAAACCACAATGTAAAATGTTCTTGGAATTGCACAAATTTTATTTAAATGTGAATCTATGTCAGTATGAGTATGACTTTTTGTTTTTCCATGTATATCTCTTATAGATCTAGCTTTGGAACTTAATTATTCTTTTTTTGTTTTATTTAATAGTTTTCTAGTAAGCGAACAGTACAAATTTTATTGAAATCAATTTAGTAGTTTTGGAGATATAAAACTATTTAATTTTAACCTGCTTATAAAAGTAAAAACTATTTTACAAAATCTTAGTAAGTATGTTATTTTATAATAGAATGGAAAATTCTTCAATGTTGACATTACACAAGATATATATGTCGTATCATCTTTACGAAGATCGTTTGATTTAGTTTCTTTTATTTTAATTGCTAGTTACTCGATTGTAGAGAGAGCGTGATCATCGATACTTTTAATTTTATTAGAATGGTGACACTGACTTTGACAGTTCGTTAACAAAAAGCAATTTGCCGCCATTTTGGCACACATTCTATATCCAATCGCCGAGAAGTAAAGACATCCGACGACATCACGCTCATCTCGTTATATTTTCGTATGTAAAGTGATAAAATGGAACAAATCCACATTGGTATACACGCCTGCAGTGTTATTTTAAAGATAGTCCTCCGATATGGACGAACTATTTGAGCTTCGTAATAGCCCATTCGGACTACCCGCCGTTATATAATAAATTTAAAACAGTTTAAGAAATTATGTAACGATTGACGGCCAAAAAGATCCCATCTGAATCTAAATAAAGTCTAAATGTGTATATAAATTAAACGAGGCTAAAACGCGTATGATAAGATGTCTGTTTGGAGCGACAAGAATGGACAAAGAGTGTATTGAGAAGAGTTTGAAAGTTGCACCAGCGATATAAACAAATCTGCGGTAGACAGTGCAGTAAGAGTTCATGGAGAGGTAAAATTAAAAGGACAAGAATAAAATGTCAGTTTTATTTTACAATGAAAACTTGGTGGTCAAGTCAGAAAGTAGCATAATTGATTCGTCGTTTGCTTGTTCTTGTTCCAATTATTTTATTTTTGCGGTCTCCGCAACATAAGTTTTTCCCTCATACTTCATGACTAGGGGTCGTCTTTCTATTCATTATTTTTCACATAGTCTATCCTTTTTCTGTTACTGGTGGTAATTGTAAGCTTCTATTGTGTTTACTTTATCACTATTTGTCACTATTGAAGATTTAATTGCATAGTTGCTAATGACATTATAAACAGCTTATCGTACATAAATATGATACCGGATAAATAATAAAAAAATGAAATAGAAAAAAAAACTAAAGGATAATTTTCGATAATATTTTATTTGATTTTTTGGCGCCGTTGTCAATTCAGAGATAAATTTTACATATTTCGAAAATATTTAAGAAGATTTGGAATTTTCTTCTGTAATGGCCCAGATATAAGAGGTTAGTTTTCGAAGTCAGGAAACCTCTTTGTGGATTCAGAACTAGCTTATGTTATAGGTTATAGTAAGATCCTTAACAACGAAGATAATGGCACTAACTAACTTGCCAACACTAGCTTGCTATTCTGGCTTGAAAAATTAGCTTCGTAGATCTCGGGCACGAGTTCGATAAAGAGTTACAGACATGTCTTAGGTACAGCTAATTGAACTAACAAGCAGATATGCTAGAACATAAATTCTCATTGGTCAACTCTAGTTAACATGTATTTATTAGTAGGCGGAGCATCTTCGAAGACAACGTCAAATCTTTTGCCAATTTCTTCGTTACACAGTACCACAACAGTCTGCCAGCCGTCTTGCTCACCAGCTTTTTGGGTGCCCCATGACGACATCCATGAGGCAGTCACGGCTATGTTTTCTAGTTTGCAGACAGTACGTCTGGAACAAAATGGAAATTAGATGTTTTTATAACACGAGGAGCGTGATTGTAGAAGCAAAGACCCGCCATAGTGGAAGTTGCATATTAGTTTTTGATAGTGGATCTCCTTAATGGTTTATGGCAGTATCGATGTTAGGCAGATAATGATGGTACAGATGATGGCTGCATCATGAAATTTTCATGAGACAGCTCAAAAGAGGAATATTTTGTAAACATAAATCCTGCCGAAACATCGGTGACTATATTAAGTGTGATATACGTAAAAATGTACAGAGAAATGCCTTTCTTTGAAGGTTATCATAAATAGGGAAAGAGGAAGGACCATATGCAACTACATAAAAAAACCAAGGAAAAGGCTGTACACAAACAAGATTATTGAAAAATAAATTTTACCTATTTTTAACGAATTCTTTTGCTATCCCAAGCCGCCTGAAGTCCGGATGGACAAGTATGAACAAGTCGTCGTAGAACTTTTCCACATTCTGTTCTTTAGTAACGCTGTAGGTTTGAAAACAATTTTTCACTATTTCAATCAGTTTCCCTCAATTCTTTCGATTCAACCTGAAATAATTACATCAAATCTGTTGACACGATACCAAATTGATTATTGTTTAGATGATGACTTATATTCGGGTCATAATAGGGATGATGTCTGGGTAAAAAAAATGCAATTCTATTTAGTCCGTCAGTCAGATAATAGAAAAATATTAGATACGTATTTTTTTTACTTCAATTTAACAAGAAATAGCTTAGATAACAGGGCATTAAAGTTGAGGAGTGGGGGCTCGCTACGTCACAGTTGAGTTGAAAACGTACTCTAACGTGACGTCATGCGAAATTTCAACTCAATGTAACGCCGTAATTTTATGATTACGAAAAAAATAAAAAAATACGTGTTTAATATTTTTTAACACTCTACCTGACGGACAAACAAACAAAAATTAGTCATCATCCCTATTGTATCTATAAATATAAATTTTCGATAAAAATTGATTGCAATCAAAAAAGAGATGTCCGGTAAAAAAAGACATTTAAAATAATAAAATTTCTGAAAAGCTAACTTTTAAAAGAGACCTTGTGTACACCAGTATAATTGAATTATCAAATGTATCTGCTCGTGCGTTAATAACCTCAAAAAACCAAATTTTTTTGGATTTTTAATTAGTTTCACATTTTTCTGTAGAACGGCATGTTTGATAAAAAATATGAATATATGAGATGTACCTGGATATCTCCCAAATCCATAGTTTTGTTGGTAATGTGCGTGGCAGATACACCTGCCAATTCTCCTATCACATCAGGATCATCATCCACGCAGCATATGTCCACGTGAGATTGGAGATGTTCTAGCGCTGTCTTCATTAACTCTCTGGATTCTGCTTTTGCATGTTCACTTTTATATACTCCTAGAAAATTCACAGAATTATAAAGTTATATAAATTTCATTCTCATCATAATACTATTATTTTGTTGTTGTTTTTTTATATTGTAATGAAAATGACGAACAAACGTTTCTAGTAACCTAGGACAAGGCATAACTTAACTAAAAAACACCTAATCTCACGAATCGCCCAAGGAGATTAGTTTAATACCAAATTATAATTTCTTCTTTTATTCTTTGAGATATTTGTGGTCTGTCATATTACGCAAATGGCTAAGTCAAGACGCCGCTTAACGAATGTAATTACTTAGGAGATTGATTAATGTTGTTAGGTTTCTAGTCATTCGTGATATACATGTTCACTTAGGCGATTTCTAAATATTTGGGCAACAGATTTAACGGCTCCTAAGTTAAGTGAAAACGGGTATAAGCATATCATTGCTTAAAGACAGCGTTTTGATTCATCAGCTTCATTACGAATATCCAATTTGAATTATCGTTAAGGTATGATTTTAAATGTAGAGAGAACAGTTGACTTAGACCGAAATTTGTCGTGTTAGCTAGTAAATTATATTTTTATTTATTATAGACCTATTAGGTTCAACAAAATGGCTCTTGATCTTAATCCAGTTTGGAGCCATGAGATCTACGGTGGAACGAGCTTGCCTATAAGGAGCCTATTCACTCCTACCTTGAATAGATTTGGATGATTATATATATGTAATAAAGATACTGATCAATTTTTTTATAATCAACAGAGAAAATAATTAAACGAAGCTAACAGATAATAATTATAATGTTCATTAAAACTCTTTTGTCAATTTACAATGCACTTAATCTGAACATTATAATACAACAAATAATAATAAAACTTTCCTAATTAAAATAAACAAGCATATCACCTGCTGCTCTATGATAAGGCTCATCTTTAGTGAAATATTCTGAATGCATATCCACTACTGCATCCAAATACTCCAATGGCATATCCTGTATCCTAAGTTTCACGGTACTACCATCACTCCTGGTCACAGTGAACCTGGAATAAACACGGCATTTAGACTTCTCCATGACTTACCAAGTTAAATTACAACAAAGACTAATGTGTAGTGTGTGAGCTATTAAATAGATATCGTAATCTTATCTTAAAGATAAGTAGTTTAAAACATTACTGATTATTATTTTTTTAAATCTATTTTACATTCACAATGTTATACTGTAAAATATTCTTAATGAAAGATGTTTAAAAATCCACTTTGTCCTATCTCAGAGTGCCAGAGACAAAGTGGTGTTTTTAAGCAATTTTTCATTAAGAATACATAACTGATTCTTTGTAATACGGATGTCATATATGTATTTATATCATAGAAATGAAATGAAAATATCTTTATTCAAGTAGGCTTATTACAAGTACTTTTGAATTGTCCAAAAAAAAAATTTTCCCCTACCACTTGTGCAGGACGTCTTTTAGCTGACAAGAAGAACAAGCGAAAGAAACGTACCAGATCTTTATTATAAGTAATGACATTTACATAAATCATATTCAATGTACTCAAAGTATAGCGAATGGTAACGCCTAACGCCTACGTATCCAGTGGAGGCAACGAAGCTCTGTCACTGATAATATTCATTCACCTACCGATCTTCTTACGTTGAACAACGAAATCCACCTCAAAATTGTGAACCAGTAAATACATATTTCTGAGTTTATTTTACGGAATAAATTCCATTGCGCCAAGAAAACGCAAACAGCGAATATCTAATTACATACTTTGACTGTTGATACGAGTATCAAGAACAATTGTACCATGATTTGACTGCAGAGGTAGTCGTGACATGACTTTTCTTTCAACATAATAGAATGAAAGTCTACTACCAAAGTCATATTACTCACTTCACAAAAACATCACGAGTTCGGGAGTCTAGTGGAGTGTATATTACACGATTTAATTTGTACTCACGTTTTTTATAAAACCTACAGTAAGCTATGCCCTGACCGTACTGAAGGCCGTGCGAGATTTACGAGTATCCTGATTTACGAAGGTACAATGTAATTTAATTCATGCCATTGACGCTTCGATAGTATTAAGTACACTCACAAATTACAGGCCTACGGGCTTCTAAATATTGGGTATATTCTTCTTTCATTCAACTTTTAGAAGCCTACTTGTTTTAATATATGTATGGCCACAAGGCTAATTGGCTAACGATGTAGTCAATAGGGAAGATGACTAATTTTTGTTTGTTTGTCCGTCAGTTAGACTGTTAAAAAATATTAAACACGTATTTTTTTTCGTAATCATAAAATTACGGCGTTACATTGAGTTGAAATTTCGCATGACGTCACGTTAGAGTACGTTTTCTACTCAACTGTGACGTAGCGAGCCCCCACTCCTCAACTTTAATGCCTGTTATCTAAACTATTTCTTGTTAAATTGAAGTAAAAAAAATACGTATCTTTTCTGTTATCTGACAGACGGACTACATAGAATTGCATTTTTTTTACCCAGTTCTCATCCCTATTAGCCTTGTGTTAAAAAACTTAAAAACAAAGAATTATACAATTATAATCCATATATTAGTATGAACCTAGTAAAATATTGACAAAGAAGAGTTTTAAATGTTTTAATTCGAAATAATTAAATCCAGATTTTTTTTATTGATCCTTTTAATTCAGTTCGGGAGTTACCGTAATGAAGAGTCATTATTCAAATTCATTACACGAAAACGTTTTAATTAAATCGTTTTCAATCATGGAACAGAAAAAAAAAGAGATTCAAAAGTTATTTTTAAAACGACCAAGAACTTTTTAAACGTTAGAAAGGCGGGCGATTGAAGTTGCCCCAATGAAAGCTCTTCACAAAAGGTTTAAGCTTTCAAGAAAACTTTTGAGTGCTTTTTAAAGAACGGTTTATTAAAAGAGTCACTAGATTAACGAAATATCGGATACTTAATTTATTTCCTTTCAGATGAAAGTGATATTGATCTTAAGGTATTTAATTAGAATACAAAAATTACAATAAACAATTAACATACTCTTTAATGACTGTGCCTTCAGACGCACAGTCGTCTCTGCTTTTCTGCTGCCACAAAATAATATTAATTGCTTTTAAGACGACCTATATCTCAGTCAGAACATGGAACCTGACACCATAACGGATAAAATTCCTGATATGTCATATCGGATGCACTCTATAATTTAATATTAATTTATTAATGTCTATTGTAAAATTGCATGTGTGTGTGTGTTCAATAAATGATTTCTATTCTATTTTATTATATATGTCTCATCAAAATCATCACTGATTTTCTTTTAAGTCCCCACTGCAAGAGCTCACGGCTTTCTATATACATATTTGGTTAAGACGTCTCTCTCCACGCTGGCGCATTACGTATTGGAGGGGTTTGATGACTGTAAATGAAGCCGGGAAGGCTTAACGTGTCTTCCGAAGTACGGAGTTGCTCGAGATAACAATTTTTTGGTTACTCATCATGCGAACAATTTTTTGGTTACTCATGCCATGACCGAGTCATGCGAAGATTGTATAGAAACAACTATTGCAAGCCGTGGCGTTCATACACGCAGGCAGGCATTTTTTCTACAACTTTTCACAGAAAATTACGAGTGAAAATGTCATTAACCACGACGCTTGCTGAAACGTGACTTATCTGAGACTCAGGCAATTGCCTTGCTTTTTTGTTGTTAATATTGTGTGTAAAGTAACGTTAAACCATACCGCTAATTACTGGGTAGTTAGACTAAGATCGGCTTGCACCATCTCTCTTAATTCATCGCTATTCACCTGGAAGACCTCCCCTTCCTCGTGGCTAGTTCTTTAAGTCAAAGTTTCCATTAGCTGACCCCTCTCCAAACGCAACATCTATATTGCGGGCTGTTTCTGCCGCGTAACTTCCGCGTCAGAACTCGTATTAAAAAATCACTCGAATTTTCACAGTATCCATCTTTCTTGTCCAAGTTGAATAACAAAAACAATTGCAATTCAAATGTTTCACACTTTTCAAAAGAAGAATTTCATTGAAACCATGTCAAAAAAGCTTCTTTCGAAAACCTCAAACCATGAAGATCCTATGTGAATCTAAGGAACCTATTACAATAAAACGGCAATTTCATACTTTAACCCCTATTGCATCATTGACTGTGAAACATAACGACTTATTGGTATAAAGCATTAATTTATATTTAGTATAAAAGTAACTCTCATTTTACTGAAGCTAATGAGGAAGAATTAAAAAAAAAAGTTCCCGAAATCAAACTAGATGTCGCTACGCAACTTTCTTGATTTCTCCATGACAACTCTTCCGGTTTTCTTTCATGTATAAAGTAAATTAGTTTTCAAAACTCAATAAACAACTCATATTCTATTTGTACTTTTTAGTATTTCTATTGATATCTAAGTTTCGAACTTCATAAATTTCAGTTTTTTAATCTGTAAGTTAAAAGAAACAGAATGGCTATCTTTGGTCCATTCGTTTCCTGCAAAAATCAACTTTTGCTAGAGTCGCCATCTAGTGGAGGTGCTTTCTTTTTTTTAATATTTCCTCATTAAAAGTAGAACTACAGTATCTTTTGACGTAGGTGTTATATGACGAAATATTATAATCACATGTTCTGAACATAAATAAACTACGTAATCTGGATCAGCCCAGGATACAGTCATAAATTAGGGTTTAAGATAACTGTCGCAGAATGAGCTGGGTCACCGAACATTACGTTGAATCAGCCATAACTTAACCATTCCGTACACTAATGAACTTCAGAGTGATATGTTTGTAACGACATTAACTGTGACTGTTTGCGATTATATATACTATACAGTAGAATACTTGAATGATATACCTTTTTAGGGTTCTGTACCCCAATAGGTAATTATTACTAACTAAGATTTCGCTGTCTATCTATCACCAGGCTGTATCCCATGAACCGTAAAAGTTAGACGGTTGAAATTTTGATATATTTCTGTTGCCGCTTCAAACACACTTAACTGGCTCCCTATTCGCCGGCGCAGAGACTTACATACTCTTACGCTCCTCTATTCCTTCCATTTTCTACCTACGACCCTTGCTTACCTAAAAAACGCTTTTCCTTCCGAATCTCCACAGTGTACCTACTTTACGCTCATCTTATAACTTAACCCTTAATATTCATTGTCATACTTCCGACTTCTTAAGTGGTCGAGATATTCCTTCGAAATAAGATCGCATATAGATCACAAATCAGTTATTTAGTTGAATTACTTAATTATCTAATCGGAGTACATTAATAATAACTCGATGCAAACGGATTGCGATACGAAACGCGGAGAGTTCTGCGCTTGCGTCCGCTCAATATGGCCGCACAACGTAAAGTGCCATCTTCGAACAAGCATAGACCACTCCCAAGCGATGACAGCCGTCAATGTCATAACTTGACGTTTCGCAAAGCACCATAGATCTTGACAGATGACAGCTGCAGGTGACAGATGGCGTTTCGCACAATCGAAGCGCCTTCTCGCCGACACGGCCATCCTGCTGCATCACACGTCCTCGTGTGAGTCTAAAAATGAAAACACTACCAGTAGCCTTTGCCATCACTCGGTCATCTCTGACCAGTAAAAATACGGTCACATAAGCACACCGATCACAAACTATGTTTACTGATTACAACTATGTACAATGATCAAATACTGCCTTAGTACAACTTCGAAGGATATCTGAAGTTCAAACTTTAAATCAAGTCTTACACTCATCAGTACACAACTGAACACATATCGCGATTCTATACAGTGATAGAACGCACACATCAAGACACATAACGCCTCCATCGAGCATTATGTTCCCTTCGTGCCTCCAACAACACAAGCAAAACGCCTCCTTCGAGCGTTATGCTACCAGTGTCTCCATCGAGCACATAAACAACCAATGCCTCCATCGAGCATTGTTCCCATGAGCAACTCCATTGATCGCTCAAGTAACACCTCTCATCGAGTTTTACCCAACTTAATCACGCGATGTGCCAGGAACTTCGAACACGGGATCATCACTTTGATCCACAATTCTTCTACAACCAACTGACCTTCAGGCATCCTTCTCAGTCTATCATGAGCATACTTGTACGTCCTCTTAGAATTTAACGCTCTTTAACAAATAACGAT